GGGCCTGACACATGGCTGTGAGCGCCAGAGTCACTCCTGATTACAGCGGTGTAACTCCAGAGACGTGACTCCCAATTGACACTGCTGTAGCACATCTGCTTTGCACTGGTGCACGTGGCTACCCCAGGAGGGGAACCAGGTCCCAATACTTCCTGGTGCTCACACAGCAGGGGGGACAGGTGCTGGCCAAATACCTCGGTGAGGTAGTTTAGTGGATCCTGGTGACCCCAGGCAGAGACCCTGTCCTCTCCTGATGTGGGGCTGTATAGGCTCCAATATTCATCCCCTCCTGCCCCCTGCCCTCTAGGGAATGGATTCTGTGCAAGCTCAGTGAACTGTGCCTGCAGCACCTGCCATTGGCTTAAGGAAAATTGGTTCTCAGCCTCCCATCTCCTGCCCTGGGAGCAGCTGCATGTTCCCAGGAGCCTGCACGGAAATGAAGTAACCCGGACAAGGCCCCCAGCCCCCTTACACTCTCAGAAGAAAGCAGTGAGGGTTAAATGCAGCCACTCCCTCAGTAGCTGTGAGCTCAGGGCTCCTCCTTCTGGCAGCTCAGGGAACTTCAAGGGTTTGGGGCTTGTGTTTACAAAAAGATGGAGTCCCTGAGTGCCAAAGAGCTGGGCTCCGGCAGCTGCCAGTCACTTCAGTGGGATTTGGGAGTGGCCGGCCTCTCTGAAAACAAGCCCACTGCTCAAGAACAGTACTTGGGAAGGGTCCTGGGTTGGCGGCACTGTTAGCTTACTCTGAGGTGCATGATTGAGCCCCTAGAAAGCCTTTCTCCCTTTATTCTCGCCTTGCTCATACAGACTGAAGACATGATTGTTCCTCCCCCTGCCCTGTGTAAGTGCTGATGGGGCCTGCTCTCACTCACCCCAATGTAAATCCGGAGTCTCCCCGCTGCAGTGAGCCGAGCTTCATCGGGGAAAGGGACGGGGGAGACAGGCCCATGGTGTCAGCTCTAGGGTGCTTGTGGCCTGTGAGTCAGATTTACCCCTGCAGGCCTTGGGCCCTGGCAGCAGGATGCCCACTGCAGGGAAGCTCTGGCAGAAAGAAGCAGCTGCAACGGGGCCTGCAGATATCCAGCCCAGCCCCAAAAGGGGTGGGGCAGGGGGCATGGCTAGGTCATTCCATCTATCGCCTCGGCAGCCTCCCTTCGTGGGTCCCCTGGAGAACTGCTCTCCCCAGCTGAACTGTGCTGCCTCCGTGAGCACGAACTGATGGTGTATCAACTACTGCTCAGGACGCACCTGGCTCCCCCGGGGCTGTTCTAACACTTGTCCCAGGCAAAGAGCAAAGCAAGAGGATGCAGTGGGTGCAGGAGAGGGACGCGGGAGGCGACAGGACGCTCGGCGGCTGCAGTGATGCCAGACTCCCCTCAGCAAGGCAACCCGTGGAGCACAAGGATGAATCTGAACATCCTTGTTCTACTCTCAAGATGGGCCGGGCTTTAAGGGTCACATTTTCAGGGGATTGCCTTAGCTGTGCCCACAGGCTTGGCTGCCATATCGCTTTGCCTGTCCTAAAAGCAAAGAGCGGCATCAAGCCCCTGCCTATTGGGTTCTCCACGTGCCTCCCTTGGGAGAGGTATTAGCATGGTTGGGTCTATGAGGTGTGTGCCCGGCTGGGATCAGTGCCCCTTTGGTGGCTCCGGCTGGCATAGCTGGGATTGGAGGGATGTGGTACATTTTACATTTGCTCAGCCTCTGTGCAGCTGCGGCCCGAGCAGCCAGCCTGCAGGGGCATGGCTGGCGCAAACTGTGTTCACAGGGCTTCCTGCTCATGTGGAGTAGTGAGTGAAAACCATTAGTTACTCATTAGTGTTAGTCTGTATCCACAAAAACAACAAGGCGTCCGGTGGCACCTTAAAGACTAACAGATTTATTTGGGCAGAAGCTTTCCTGAAGAAGTGAGGTGTTTTACCCACCAAAGCTTATGCCCAAATAAATCTGTTAGTCTTTAAGGTGCCACCGGACTCCCTGTTGTTTTCATTAGTGCGTGAAAACCATCTAAAGCAAACTTGGCATGAGAGCTGCAATTACAGAACAGTGACAGCAGATGGTAGCAAATTCCTACCACTCATTCCCACTAGGCAGGGCTCTGGAACAAAGGCAGGTGTTTTAATCACACGGTGCCCCCTGCTCACTCCCGGGGCTGGGGGGAGGGAGTCGAGGCCACATCTTGACTATGCCAGGTGCCACGCAGAGGCCCATTGCCCAGGTAGGAAGGACAGGAGTCAGTCAGGACAAGGCACCCCCATCCCTCCCGTGAGCAGCACTTGCTGGGGGAAGAGGAAGGCCTCACGTCAGCAACCATCACACGAACACGGTGTTAGCCCAGGGGAGGGCGCATGGCTTGGGGCATGAGTGGGCCGCTCTGGGCGTCAGGACTAGGTGGGTTCTAGTCCCAGCTCTGCTGCTGCCTCACTGCGTGACCTTACCCCAGCCCATCCCCCTACTCTATAAAATGGGGATAATGATCCTGAGCTGCCTACTTGAGGGGTTCTGAGGCTGGGTTCAGCCATGTCTGTGGAGGGGGTTGAGATCCTCCCCGGGAGGTGCTGCGCAAGAGACGGGTATTGGTATCGCTTTGGACAGCCTCTGCACTGCCTCTCTGCTGGGCTGCATCACTCGGCTGCATGTGTGCGCACAGCCAGGGGAAGTGACCAGCGTGCCAAGCTCTGACGCACTCGCCCAGGGCGCCTCCCACATCCACATTCCAGTCACTGTCGCCATGCTGCAAACGCACATGCTGAATGGAGCAGGAGGCAGCACACGGGGCTAGGGGGGTGGAGGGAGGAGCGAATGAACCTTGGAAGGTTTTGGCAGCCAGGGAGAGGATCAGGCATTTGCTGGCTGCCAACCCCTCCACACATTCCAGTGGGGCTCGCTGTGGAGTCTTGGGGCCCCTTTACCGGGGAAGGCTGTGAGGTTTCGTGGTACAAACAAATTATCCACCTCACTATGCTTTATCCAGCTGGAAGGTGGACACACTGTACCCCAGCTAGCAAAGACCACTGGCTTCTGTTCTGATGCAGCCCCAGCCAAGCACTGTCTGTGCAGAAGAGGGAAAGCTTTTTTCCCCTCCCATTCCATGTCAGATCTGTGTTAACGACGAAGCCACTCTTGGACTGCCCGGGTCTCCTTGGCTGTCTCCCCTCTGGCCCTGTCTCCCTCTGCAGTTCAGCTCAAGGCACCCAACCAAGGGCTGACGTAGGCATCAGAGGCTGCAGCACTGACCATCCTGTTACCTCACGTCTGTCTTGCTTAGGTCAATGCACTTCACACCCTCCCAGAATCTTGCCCAGCTGCCGCATCCCTGGTGCCCTCCACCTCTCAGAAATACCAACCTTCCCGATCCAAAGAGTAATGAACAGCCAGGGGCAGCAGCAGCTGCAAGGACCAAAGCACTGAAAGGCCTCTGGAGCAGAGTCTCTGGCAAATGACAAAGCGGTCGATGCATTATCGACTGACCTTTGCAATTGGTAAAACAATAAAAGCAGAGGCTTTAAAGCCATCGAGTGAAACCCAGCTCTCTCCAGATGGCAGGAGTCTGACTATGTGAGTGGGCGTGTGTCCGCATCAGTCCATCAAACCCAAAAGGCCCCAACACAGCTGCCCTTGTGGGGGGGGGGGGTGCACACAGCAACAGGAAAATCCCCCTCCTGGCTAGAACAGAGCCCAGCTCCCTTCTCAGCTGGCCTTATTCCACCCACGTCCTGTCACACAGTCACAGCCATCTCTGGCCCCAGCACTCAGCTAAGGCCCGCTGTTGCCAGGCCCACCTGCTTCCCTTGAGCTGCTTCAGTGTCTGCCTGGCTTTCTACCTGCCGGAGGCTGTAACACAGATACCAAGTCATAGCCTGGGACTTTCTGTAGCCAGTACCGTTTACTGGGGTTTGTGTGACTGGCCCAGAGCAGGGTTTGAACCGGAGACCTTCAGCGCTAAAACCATGAGCCTCTCCTGCAAGATGGTGAAGGCCCAGAGCCTGAGGTGTTTAGGCACCTAACTCCTATTGAAAGAAATGGAAGCTCTATATCGACCCTGACAGCAGCTACTCCCCTCCAGCAGGGTAAAGATTGCCAAGCCCGTTTTTCTTTAACCTCTTGCCCTCTGGTGCTCTCCAACTTCCTGCATCCCTGGAGAAAGCGCTCCTCCCTTGGCTCCTCACCTCTGCTGGCCCAATCACCCGGACTATCCCAGACCCCTTTGCGTCTGACTGTGGGTTTCCTCGTTTGCTCTGACCCCAAACCCTTGTACAAATCACAATGTTGGGTAGAGCTTTTAGCACAGATGCCTGTGCTACTTCACCCCCCCTCCTTCCCGGCGGAGTTGTCCATCTGGGGCTCCCTTTCGTCTGCTTCTGTTAGAACCAGCTTCCTTTGGGACTGAGCATGCCCAGACGCCTGGGACAGGAGTTTGTCTCACACTGAGTCTTGGGGCTTGCAGTCTGGGGATGCCCTATTGGATGTCTTTGCTGGGTTCCCCAGATAGGCCTGAACTGGCCCGGAGGTTTGCCAGGAGCTCAGTGGTTCCCTTGCTAACCTCTTGTAGGGCTGGTTGGAGACGTGTTGTCCAGCCCTCCTGCTTTGTCTGTCCTAGGAGTCTCAGATTCTTTGTTTTTTAGAGCTCCCTTGTTACCCCAACACTCCTCCTCTCTCAGGCCCGGGAAAGCTGATCCCCGCCTGATCCCACAGCGAGACGGTGTGGGGCGGAGGGAGCTCAGGGCCTGGTGAAGGAAAGAACAGCTGAGCAGCCTGCAAGGGATTGTCTCATCCAGGAGGCCCCATGGCATTCCAAGGGAAGTGTCTGGTGTCACTTTCCGTTCTGGGCAGTGGCAGCTGGGCTTTGCAGGGGGCGGGGAGGAATGTCAGCAAGGGTGGAGTCGTGCCCCCCACTTGCCCCTGGATGAGAGGAAATGCAGCTCAGGATAGAGACCAGCAGCTCTGGGTGCGACAGGGGGACCCTGCCAGCGAAAGAGGGAGGCAGAGGCCGCCGAGCTTCCCTGCTCCACCTGGAAGGCAGAAGAGCCACCAGCACAATCGAGGCTCAGCCGTGTTGTTGAAAGCAGGTGTGTGAAGAGGCAGGGAGGTGAGTCTGGACTGGGAGCTCGGGGGCCTCCTTTCTCTCTGCCCTTTGCCTGCATACGCGTCCCACAACCGGGGGAAGGAGATGAATGGAGGCGCCCCAGGAACCAGGGGGACCTCTCCTGTAATGTCCCATCTCTTCTTCTCTCGTACTGATGAGGTGTGTGGGGCTAAAGGAGGGGGAGGGATAGCTCAGTGGTTTGAGCATTGGCCTGCTATACCCAGGGTTGTTAGATCAATCCTTGAGGGGGCATTTAGGGATCTGGAGCAAAAATCTGTTTGGGGATTGGTCCTGCTTTGAGCAGGGGGTTGGACTAGATGACCTCCTGAGGTCCCTTCCAACCCTGATAGTCTATGAAAACACTGGGCCATGTTCAGGGCTGGGGTGACTCTACTGAAGTCTTTAGAGTCTAACAGGCCAGAGCTGGAACTGGCCTGGCCTCTCTGCCCAAGGAGCTCTGGCTGCGTTAGACTCATCCCCATCCCCAAAGCTGGTGCCATAAACATAAAGGGAAATCCCCAGGCAGCTGAAATATCAGAGGAATAAAGCCACCCCATGGCCCACCTCTTCCCCAGCATTCCACCTCCACTCCCAATGCCCCCTTGTAGAAGGGGGGAAGGACCTCTGAGGGCAGTTCTTCTCCAAGGGCTTTGGAAGGGCAGAGATGTCTCCAGCAGCTGGTAGATCAGGGAGCAGCTGTCATGCAGGGACTCCTGGCCAGGCAGCCTGAGCTCTCTGAGTCCTCTAGCTGGAATGAATGAATGAATGAATGAATGAATGGGGACAGTTCTGTCTTGTCAGGGCTCTGTGGAAGTTCATTCTCTTCCAGAGCTAGGTCCTGGTAAGTGTTGCTCAAAGCCATGTGCATGTGGATCCACGTGGTGTATGTGTGTGTGTTGCACAGGGTGTGTGCACGTAGGGTGTGTGTGTATACACCAGATGTGCCTGGGAGGGTGTTTATACAGAGTGTGCAAATGTAGGATTGTGGGGGAGGTGTATGTACATAGGATATATGTAGTGTGTAGTGTGGTGGGGGCAGGGTGTGGCTGGTGGGAGCACATGCGGAATAGAGGTGTGTGTGTAGGGATAGAGTGTGCACGGCATGTAGTGTGCTGGTTGGGTGTCTGGGCAGAGTGTGCCTGGTGGCTGTGTGTGTGTGTGTGCAGGGTGGGTGTGGCATGCAGAGTGTGTGTGTGTGTGTGTGTGTGTGTGTGTAGGCTGTGGCTGTGCAGACAGTGGGGAGGATGGCTGAAGAGAGGTTCTTTCTTTCTCTGGGCTGTTTGAGTTGGACGGTCTACTGAGTCTTTAGGATTAAGTATGACTGAAGGGGAAAAGGCCCAAGTATTTAATTTTCCCTGTGTCAGGCGCCTGTTAATTACTTCTGTTTCTCCTTCCAATTATCATAAAACTGCCAGGAGATGAGTGGGAACTGCCAGTTGTGTGTATCAGTCCTGTTCACTCCACTCCACGGTAGAGGCAGCCTTCAAGTCTCGATTAATTGTGCCTCACTGCATTGTGAGACAGAGCTATCAGTCCTGGGGCTGCAGGCTCCTTCCTCAGTGGTCAGGGAAGGGAGACAGGAGGAGGTGGGGGCGGCTGGGCCTGTTGCTGTGTGTTCAGAGCATCTTCTTTCTCTGCAATCTCCCGAGAACAATCGGTCGTGAATTCTCATAAGCCCCCGCAGGCTGAACTCAGCCTTCACGCAGACGGGGAGGGAACATGTGTGTCTCTGGAAATCATGTTTGTGTCAGCAACCTCCCTGTGCCTGCGCCAGCCAATTGCATAGTTAAGAAACGAAGCTAAACCCACTTTCCTTTCACCAATGTCCCTCCAGGTTTGGTATTTTTCTCATTCGATTTCTGGAGCTGGATTTAGCGCTCACCAAAGTGAAGGGCTACCAGACCTGCGCTGCTTCTAGCCAGGGAGTGCGCAGCTGTTGTGCAAGACTCCTCCAAGTGCTCTGCTAACACAGCTTGGTCCTGACCTGAACTTCCTCCTGCTCTTCTAGTCTTGAACCTCCTACACGTGGCTTGGACAATGCCCCTAAGTCCCAGCCAGCAGCACCCTGTGATATTCCAGCCCCGGGCTCACACCCACAGCTCTGCCAATGCCCATGCATCCCAACCTGCCGCAGCGTCTGCTGTCCCTGTCACTTTGTTTTGTGATGTGGATAAATACCCAGGAGGATGGTTTAGGATGAGGCATTCACACCCTTTGGGCTAATCAGGATTTGAATGTAGGATCCCAGCGACGAGCAGAGAGAACAGTAACTGTGCCATCTACATGCACTTCATCCATTTCTTTAATGCGCTGCGTGTGAGGCAGCCTGGGCCAAAAAGGGAAGGATCCTAATTGTCTTAGACCATAAAAATGATTTACTCTCGCTTTTTAATGTCATAATGAAGTGGCCTTGGCACTCAAGCTCTGCCTGTGCTGCTCCCAGCAGATACCGTGCAGCCCAGCCCCCTTGGAGGAGCTGGAGGGAGCAGATCTAGGCTCACCAGCTGCCCGGGGACCAGAGGGAGCCATGCTCTAGGGAACGGTCTGGGATGGCCCTGGTTTACAGAGGTGCTAAGCTCTTACAGCTCCCCACTGGAATTGTGGGTAGGCTGCACCTCTGTGAATCGGGTCCAATGACAAATTCCAGGGAGTTAGGTCTCCAGTAGCTTCCACCACCCTTTGGGAGATGTGGTCCCCAAGAATGAGACTGAGAATCAGAAGATCTGGGATCAGGTCCCAGCTCTGCCATGCTGACTCAGGGCATGCCTTCAGGCAAGTCATTGTGCCTTTCTATGCCTCAGTTTCCCCATTTGTACAAGGGGGACAATCTAACCCACCTCCAGGGGTGTTCTTGGGGCTGATCCAAGGTGTTTGCAAAGCGTGTTAAGACCTTTGGATGTAGTCTGAGGGAGAAGAACCAAGTATTATTCTTGGTCTCCTGCCCTGTCCTATACACACTCCCATGATTCCTAATGACACAGCCCAGAGCTGTCTGTGCCGTGACGGAGCTATGGGTCAGCAGATCTGCTTGTTTCCTCTGGAGAAACCCACTGAGATCGATTACAGAATCAGTCCCACAGGGAGAGGGTTCAGAAGGTTTCCATAAGGAGCTTCCCACACCCCCACAAAAAAGATGACATAGAAGAAGCATAAAGTCCCCCACGCATCCCTTGTGATCCCCACACCAGTTGCTGAGAAATTCGTTCCTGCCCGTCAGTAAGTGATCCAGGACTTGGTGCGGTAGGGCAAGGGAAGGGGTGGAGAAAGCCCTGGAGTGGATCAAATTAATCCCTGACTTCAATTAATCACCTTCTGCCCTGAATTCACACCCCTGAGGGTTTCAGTGGAGTTACACCACGGATGAGTTTGACCTATTTGAGCCTCTCTGTTTCTGGATCACTGGGGGAAAGGGTGTTCTGCTCTGCGGATCAGAGGCAACAGACTCCAATTGGGGACCAGCAGGGAAAGAGACATTTGACGGAGCCTTTGAGCAGCCAGGGAACAGCTTCTTAGGAGGTGTCTGCCAGACACAGGGGGACTCCATGGTCGGGCCTTAGGGAGAGCAAATGGGTCATTTTTAACCACACGACAGCTGAGCTGGTTCTCACCAGAAGCCTTAGCAGCTGCCATCTGGAGTCCTTGTTGCCAGACCCACTCATCAGCTGCTCTGCCAGCGCCTCATCTCAGCCCCTCTGCAGCTCTCTGTTAACACAGCCAGGAAGGGCAGGGCTAGATCCCTCCATCTGCCTGAGAAGGCAGATCTGGGCTGCTACCATGTGCATGTGTCGCTAGTTTCCCGCAAACACATCTGCCCGGAGGATCCCCATCTCTCTGCCTCTCGGAGACTATCCGTGGGAGCCCTGACATGAGCGCTTCCGCTGAGGGCCCCAGCTGTTTCTCCTGGCCGCCTGGCATGGGGCCGGGCTTTGGGCACTGGGCACACCTCCCCACAGAGCTCAGCTCACATACCTGAGGCCCCCAAACATCTACTCTTCTGGGCCACGCAGCTGGAAAGGCTGGACTCCTGTCTGCCAAAACGGCCTATGAGACTCCGCTATACCCTCACTGCTGGGGAATCTAGTAAACTCAGCACATAGACTATGTGGCCAGATTCGCCAAGCCTCACTCTCACCGATTGGTGCTTAAGGCCCATATTCAGCAAGGCACTTAAGTCTGTGCCTATCTCTTAAGTGCCTGAGCACTCTCATTGACTTCAATGGGATTACCTGGGCACCTAAAGTTAAGCACATGCTTAAATACCTTCCTGAACTGGGGCCTAAGGGAGGGCTCATGCTTTCAGTCCCATCCCTACAATCTCAGTGAGGCTTGCAGCACTGTTACTGACCCTGTGGCTTTACACTATCATCCATCACAAGGCAGAAGGAAGGAGCAGCCTGCGTTTACAAGGTAAGGCCCTTCTTTTGGTGATGCAATTTGGGGTTGTTATTTTTCTCCTCCTGACCTGTGGCAATAAGTAGCCACAACCCTTCCAAACCCCAATGCCAACCTGGCTTGAATCCTCATGAACTCGCCTTTTGGAATAAGTCATCGGCCTTCCTGGTCCTACGCACTTGTGAATCTTCCATGCCTTGGTGTGCCTGATTGAGCCCTGCTCACTCGTCACTAGGTAAACACCAGAGTTATAAGCTTCCATTCGGCTCAGCTGTCATATAAAAGCTTTGTCTGACAATCACAGGAATCCAAAAGATACATCTTGCAATTAATACTGGATTTACAATTCCACCTCAAGAGAGGCAGTGGGCGGGCCACTGAAGGGCTTCTGTCAGAAATATTGGACGTACATTGTGCTGGGTGACCTAAATTGGTTTTAAGTTTTAATTGTCAGCTCTAGTTGGGGGTGGTTTTAATTATGCTTTCAGTCTTTCCTATGACACATTGAAATGCAAGGTAGTAAGTGGCTTGGCTTCGGGCTACTTCTGGGATGGATAATGGGGCTGGGAGCATAAAGAGGTGTTCACAAGTAGCACTGGTCTAGGCACTTTTTCTCTAGTCAGGCTGCTGTCCACATGAGTGAGATCCGGGGAGGTGCAAGATTATGAGGCTTACAAAGATCTCGGTAGAATTAGATTTAAATAAACGTGTAGTGTAATGTGTGTGTGTGTGTGTGTGTGTGTACACCACTAACCACGACTGGACAGAATCCAAATTGTGCAGCTGTGTGTCATAGGCTCTGCACTGCTAACAGAGTGTGGAGGTTCTCCTTTAGCTTGTTTGGCAGGTGCCTGTCCTTTCAGTGCAGGGTGAAGGCATTGAGTACTATTCCTAGCAATCGCCATCAAGTTCCCAGCAGTCGTGGTGCAGAGCATCGTGACAATTCTGACATTCCTAAGCAGCTATGGATTTGTTGGAACGTATGTTTAATGTACCATCAATGATCTTGTCGGGTGCCTTATCTCTAGCAGGGGCAAAGATTGGAGCAGGTGGAATTCAGAGGCCAGTGGTCCTACCAGGGTCACACTGTAATTAAGCTATAAGGAGCAGGTAACCTTGGGAACCACTTTGTAATCAAAAATCTCTCTCTTAGAGACTGATCCTGCCAGGGGCTAAGTGCCCTCAACCTCTATTGACTTCAGTAGGGGTTGAAGCCCTCAGAGGCCCTTAAAGAGTAACAATGGACATATAGCACATCCAGACTGAGTGTAGCACCGTCAGAAATTGACCCTCAGGCATGTCTTACATTCATTCACTCTCTTCCGCCATCCCTTCCTTGCTTTCCTTAATGCCTTCTCTTTGTCTGTAGCACTGAAAGTTTAATCTGTTATCAGCCAGGAGATGAAAGGCATAATTGCAGCGCACTCAGCTGCAGAGCTTCTGAAAGGAGCCGAGCACCTCTGCACAGCTGTGAATCAGACAGGAGTGTGTGGAGGGAGATACATTTCCTTGCAGAGATTAAAGGCTCTTCTGGGATATGATCCTTCACAAACCTTCCAGGTGGAGAGAGACTCGCCCATGCAGAACCCAGCTCCCAAAGGAGGAGGGGGTGTGAGTGTTGCTGATTGTCGGGGTACAGTGCTAGTGAATGAATGCAGACTCAAAGCTTGGAGTAGGCATTGGAAATAATCATTTAAAGTTGAGGAAGGATGGTCTGATGGCCTGGGATAGGAGATCTGGGTTTGTTCCCTGGCTCTGCCAGAGACTTTGTGCAAATCACTTAATCTCTCTGTGCTTTGGTTTCCCATCTGTAGGAAGGGGATAACTTTCCCTTTTCTCTCTGGAGACTGTAAGCTCTTTGAAGCAGGGACTGTCACTTACTAGGTGCATGTACAGTGTCGAGCATAATGTGCCCAGGCAGGGCATCTAGATGCGCATCTAGATGCTATTTCATTACAAATAACAAATACGAATCCAATATGATGAATTGCAATACAGTGCTATTTGTAGCATCTTTCCCAGACATGTCGTCCCTAGTGCAATTCTCACCTCCAGTCTGAAAGGCTGCAGAGGGAGGAAAGCAGCAGAGACCATGGCACATTTGCTTGCGTAGGGCCCAGTTTGCTTGTCACTGGGGAACTCCATTGCACGGGTGTAACTGAGAAGAGCTACTGGCCCATAACGTGAACTTTATCTAACAGAGAGGTCTAGACTGACAACTTGCCAGGAGCCTGAGAGCCACATTTAATTTGCAACAGTGAAAAGATATTGTAGTGAGTGGTGCTATATATACCTACCTTAGACAGACAGATAGAAAGCAGCTGATTGCAGCTGTCCAGAGAGGTGGGCCACAGAACCTGCAAGTCCCAGCATGCAGTGCAGTCTGGCTTCTGCCCAAGATGGAGCATTGCATGGTGGGACCTGTAGTCTCTGCAAGCTGCAACTCTGCATTGAAAATTAATCTGGCCAGAGGGCTACTTTGGGTAACTCCATAAGCACCATTAGACCATGTGTTGACCACCCCACTTATAACCACTTGCCCACCCAGGCATGACAACATTACGCCGGGGGTCTGAAAGCCTGCAGGTCCACCTGAATATGAACAGAACATCTGCTCCTCTTTCTAGGATGCCTGCTGCTACAGGCTGTAAATCTTGTCTTCAGCTGGGCTCAGCATATGAGGTTAACAGAGTCTGAAGGATTCATTTTTGTCAACCTCCTGAGGTTGCTATAGTACCTGCTATAACTGCCAAAGCGCTGGGTCTGCCTGTTCAGTGACATATTGCTGATAGGCTCTAGACAAGTTTGGAAAATTGCCTCTGCTCCCTTCAACTAGTTGCCATAAATCAGAACGCTGCCAGCTTCATTAACCTAAATGCACATTGAATTCTAGTGTCGCATCTAATACTCGTAAGCTCTGAATTTAGAGCCCGGCTAATTGTATTGGGTAAATTAATCCTTGATAATAAAGTGTCACCACCACTGAGCACCAGTCGTCACTAGGGGCTAGGGCATCTTATAGCTAACCATTGGGGGCACAGGAGCGAGCCAGAAAAATCCCATTGCAATAACTTGTGCTGCAATAGGCCAAATGCAATTCTGGTGTAACTCTGCTGGAGTCTGTGGGGTTTCACCAGGAATGGATTTGGAATTCATTATTGTTATTTGGGTTCGAGTAGTGCCCAGAGGCCTGAATCAAGATTGGGGCCCCATTGTGCTAGGTGCTGTACATACATAGAGTAAGAGACATCCCCTGCCCCAAAGGGCTTACTGTCTGAACAGGCAAGAAGACAAAGGGTGGGAGGAGAAACAGAGGCACACAGAGAGGGAGTGACTTGCCCAAGTTCACGCAGCAGGTGAATGGCAGAGCTTGAAATAGAAGATTCCTAGTCCGGTGCCCAATCCACAGGACCATGGTACATGAAATAAATGATATGTGAAATGAAGCCCGCGAGAAGGACTGGCACAGTCATGCCAGTGTGGTGGGGGGGGGGGATGGTATCCATTTGACTTACTCAGCTCAGCTCCATAGCTGATTCTGCACCCAGCCATCTCCCCAGTACCCTCACAAACGATCCCCCAAAGCACAAGGAGAAGAGTACGTCGAGCTTACACGCCAGCTGGGATCTGGCTAAACAATTGTACTTCTTCTGGCCAACAGGGGAGGGAAAGAAAGACCAGCTGGTCCATCTTCACTTGCAGTTCTCAGGTAGATGTTCCACTCCCCTGCTCTGGACCATGGCTTTAGGCATCTGCTGGGGGAAGGTTATGTTTACTTTACAGAGAGTTTGCTGGAGACTGGAGTTATTCTTGATTGTGCTGCAGGATTTTGCTGCTGGGATGGCGAGAATAGTCATCATAAAGTTTTCATATGCCCAGACATTTCTGGTAGAGTCACAGTTTTCTGGGCTAAATTCAGGTGGAGGGGACTCAGCAATTGATTATTTCCCTCATTACAAATTCGGATTGCACCAACTGTCCTCAGAAAAGGGGAAAAGACCAGGAAATAGTAGAGGTAAATCCATAATCATTCTTACTGCATTCCAAACCATAGGCAGGGGTCACCTTACCCACCTCTTAAATGCAACTACCCCTGGGGTGAAACACTGCATCTGCTTAACTATGCACAGCAGTTTAAGATGGGAAATGAATATCCCACCTGAATGACACTGCAGGGGAAAGTTTAAGGAGACAGAAGGTAGTGACCCCAAACTGAATTTGGCCAGGACACCAGGATTAACCCCCCTCTTCTTAGTTAGGACCTTGGTTTTTATATCTCATTAACTGAGGGGCCTTGCCAAAGGCTTTCTGAAAGTCCACGTACACTGTATTCATTGGTTCACCCTTGTCCACATGCTTGTTGACCCCCTCAAAGAATTCTAATAGATTGGTGAGGTATGATTTCCCTTTACACAAGCCATGGGAACTTCTCCCCAACATACCATGTTCATCTATGTGTCTGGCCATTCTGTTCTTTATAGTTCCAACCAATTTGCCTGGTAATGAAGTTAGGCTGGTCTGTCATTGTCAGAATCCTCCGGAGGCTTTTTAAAAAACCCTGTTACATTAGCTACCCTCCAGTCCTCTGATTTAAGCCACACACCACAGTTAGTAGCAGGAGCCTTCCGGAGAATTTTCCAGACCCTCTGAACACTGACCTTTCTTGGACTGGAGCATCGCGCTGGGCCCCCAGCCCCAGAATTAGGTGCAGCCTGGGGAGGAGGCTGCGAAGCAGCCAGCGCCGCGGGGTTAATCCCCGGGTTGTGCAGGGCTGTGATTACACAAGGCAGCCTCCAGCTCGCTCCCATCGCATTGCCCTGCGGGGGGCCGGGCTGCGAGCCCACGGGAGGCCGGGTTGCGAGCCCCGGGGGGGCGGGCTGCGAGCCCAGAGGGGGGCGGGCTGCGAGCCCAGAGGGGGCCGGTCTGCGAGCCTGGGGAAGACGGGCTGCGAGCCCAGAGGCGGGCCGGGCTGCGAGCCTAGAGAGGGGCCGGACTGCGAGCCGGGGGGGGGGGGGGGGGGGCCCGGGGGGGGGGCGGGCGGCGCGCCGATGGAGGGCCGGGCTGCGAGCCCGGGGTGGGGGGGGGGCTCTTCATCTTTTGCCCAGGCTGTTTCTGGTTCCTGCCTCCGAGACTGGGGGGCGGCTACGGGGCAGGGGCAGCGGGTCCCCCGGAGCTGGCCGGGGGGTCCGAGCAGCGGCTGGGAGGGGCGGGCAGGTTGCTGATGACGCGCTGACGGGGCTGGGAGCGGGTTGGGGGGGAGCCTTTTCCCATGAATGGAGCTGGCGGCCGGGGCACGTCCCCCCGCTGCAGCAGCGGCTCGCGGCGCGTAGCAGCCCCATGGAGCTCAGCCCCTCCGCTCTTCCCTCCCCGCAGCCCGGCCGCCGCCCCGCCGCCCTGCCCCGGGAGCCGGAGGGCAGGAGCCAGCCCTGAGCGGCGGAGCAGCGCGGCAGCCCCCTCCCGCCCCGGGCGGAGCGATGGATCGTGGAGCCGCAGCGCCGGGGAACTGTCCGCGGTCCTGAGATGCCCGCGCCGGGTCCCTGTCTGCGGGAAGAGGCGCTGGGCTCCCGCTGCCCCCCCTGAACCGGTGCGGCAGGGTCTGTCCCCCCTGCGCTGCCGCTGGAGCCCGGGGCCTGAGCCGTCGGCACAGGGATGCAGGATGCACCCGCTCTGGAGGATGGATCACGTTTTCATCTACATCAACGCAGCCCTGTTGTTTTATTTTAGCTATGCCAGCCTGTTCCTCGTGGAGGCAGGTAAGGAGCAGACAATACCTGGCGGGGAGCCTGGGGGGTTAGCGGGGCTCATCGGATTCTCCTGCTTTTCTCTGTGCATGCTGGAAATTGCAAAGCCCCCGCGCCCTTTGTAAAGCTCTTCCCCCCAAGCAGGTGTCATTTCCCGGCAGAGAGATGCTCATAAACTTCCAGTGGGTGCTGGGTTCTCCAGGGTCCTCCTGGGCGTTAACACATTTGAGAGACACTGTTGGTGCCGTGACTCAGTGTCCTGTAATGGGAGTTGGGGACAGGTCCAGGTCACTGAAGTGTAACTTCACTGCTTTGCACACACAGCGCAGGCAAGCTAGCAACTCCTGGCCTTCTCCTGCCAACCTGGACAGAGAAAGAGGGTCCTGGGCGGGGGTGGAGGGAAGAGGGTTGGGGCTGGAGGGGAGGGGATGCTGGGTAGACTCACTAAAAAGATGATTTAATAATAACATAGGAGAAAATGAAGCCGTGTCCAGGGTCTGCAGGGGGTGTGTGGATCCTGTGTGCGTGGGCAGGAGGTATGCTGTGTGGTCTACTCTGAGCACTAGAGATCAAGGACTATATCTGTGTGAATGGGAAACAGTTTTCATTTATCACTGACTCTGACTCCTCCCCCGCCCCAGCCAAGTAAGGGTTGAGGGCTAGTGATTTTAGAGGCCCAACTTGTGACCCCATAAAAGAGCCTGGTTTTTAGTCACGTGCTGAACACCTGCCTTCTGAAAACCAGGGCCCTTTAACGTGTCTCAAGCTGGGCACCCAAAGTCACTAGTCTCTTGAAAATGTAGGTCAGAGTAGTAACCATGTGGCATGAAGCAGTCATGAGAGAAGTGCAGAAAGTCGGACCCATTCTTTGGACACTCATTAGTGAGGACACTGCCACGGCGGAGAGTGTTATCTCCCCTAAGAAAGGTGCCTTCTCCAATTAACAGCCTGAACCACAACCGAAAAGGTAAAACCAGGTCCACCTTGTTCATGTCATGCTCTGTTAACTGTAGCTCCTTCCCCTCTACACCTACCAGCCTATTCAAGGAGCCCTGAAGACACCCCGGCTCCTGGAAGCCATATGGGCTTTAAGAGAATGAGACTAGCTGTTTTGGCTACTTGCTGCGGTACATTGTGCCTTGACCACATAATAACCAGGCCCCTTTTATCTGAAGTGCTTTTAGTGGCTGTTTTCTTTGGGATGTTGAGGAAGAAGCTTTCTGAAAGGAAGAGGTCACCACATAATTAGTTCTAATTTTTTTTAAAGGGCTGATGTGTCCTCAGATATACTCCCCTTCTCTGCAGAGCTTTCTCTGTGTTTTCACCCCATAAACAGGCCTGTAGATGTCATTTTGCTCTGGACCCTCATATGTACGGCCCACACACCACACAGTTACATTTTAAAAGAATCGTTACAAGTCCAGACACAATCAAAGGATTCTATTTACTCATACAAAGGACTGTCACACTCACTCATCACATTGCAGGTAATATGGCTTTGGCAAAACAGCTGCCTTGATTTACAAAATGCGGATTGCAAGAAGATCTTGCACTCCAGTATTCTGTACACATTTATTGGTGACGTCCAGTTCCAGGAAGTGAAAATTCCTGTATCCGATCCAGACTGGTTAGTGGCTGTAGTTCTGAGAGTCCTTGTCCTATGTGTGCTGGGACAGAAGTGACCTCAAAAATGTGCCTTTGGTTTTGATACAATTGTCCTTGGCCATTGTTCATGTTGCCAGAAGACACTGAAATCCTGAAGTTACCACTTTGCAAATTAGAGGCTGGGAGACATGGTGGGATTTCTTAAAAATATTCCTAAGAGAATGAAACAATGGGGAAAATACACACAGCACAATGAAGACATTTGCAATTGAAATATTCTTCCCAGTTTCTTGTAAACTGGAACAATCTCCTCTCCTTCTTCTTATCCTAGAACCACCTGAGTCAGCCAACTGGGAATAAACAAGGGGTTTTGTCCTGTCGTAATTTTTTTTGGCTTGTTTGTTTTAACTGTGTCTGTTGTTGTCATTGTTCATGTATTGTAAAGTGCCTAGGAATCACTGGCAGAGGGGGTAGGTATATGAAGATAGCAGCATGATCTCGTGGTTAAAGCACAGACCCGGAATGGAGATCTGGGTTCTATTTTCAGCTTTCTGACCTTGAGCAAGTAACTTCACCTCTGTGACTTCTATTGATATGGCCCCTGTCCTCACAGTATCTGAGCCCTTCACAGACATTATTGGGTTTGTTCTCACACCATCCTCATTTTGCAGAAATGGAGCCGAGGCCACAAAGAGATGAAGAGATTTACCCAAGGTCACACAGAGAGTCTGTGACAGCTCAGAATTGAACCTCGGTTTCCCAAGCCATACCCACAAGATCATCCTTCCTCCCCAGCCGTGGCGTCTCCATCTGTAAAATGGAGATGATGATATTTCCTTGTCTCACAGGAGACTCCTAAAGATAAACCTATTACTGTCTGCAAAGTGCTTTGAGATCCTCAGATGAAAGGTTTGAGAGAAAGGTAGAGTGTTCATATATTTATTAATGGGTTAGGAGTGAGCCTATGGATTCTAACACTCCTCAGAAAATACATCCTCTGTGAGCTTCAGCAAAGAGAAAGAGGTGGGTGTGGGTGTGCATGCCTGTGTGAAAAAAGAGAGACATTTGTTAAATTACAGGGATTTTGTTTCTCTGAATTAGTATAAATACCTCACTCCCTCACATGGGCAGGAACTGGTTGGCACAATCCTTTGGGAATGGCTTCATGGCAATGCCAATGCCAGGCCCTGCCAATGGTTGTGGACACAAAAACAATCTGTCCTTGGGGTCCAGGTTCATGCAGACAATTTAAAAACACTCTTTCTTGGCAAAGGACTGGAGAATAGTATTGCAAACATCCCCTACTAACTTAGCAATCAAGGGTAGTGTGGCATGGTCTAGGGCAGGGGCCCTGTAATGCACACATAGGTGTGTCTGTGTAGGGGATTCTTTGCATGTGGCATTCTGCAAATCAGGTCTATTTTGTTGTATGATCAGAAAGCTACAGCAAGAGGAGAAATGCAGAGATGACTGGAAAAGAGGAATAGTATTGAAAGGAAAAGGTGGATGTGTAAAATAGTCTCTGAACTGTAATGCTGTTGGACAGCTGTCAGGTTCAGGCCAGCAATTGCATTAGCAAAGCCCTCCAACTAATTTCTATAGCTGTCTGCACAGGGGGATCACTGAGAAAATATTTAAGTCATTTAGTGGGTCTGAAATATGCTTTAGCTTTATAACAGCACTGAGCTTTGAGCCTCCATGGCCTGCTCTGCCTGGCCTGTTAGTCCCTGAGCTGCCATCGGCCCGTTCCTCATCACTCAGAGGTAATGAAAGAGGGAAGTGAGCTGTGCAGAACATGGAGTCACAGGGCTGCCATTATGGACTGCCGGAGCAGCAGGGGGATGCTATGCAAAGATGATAAAAGACTTCAAAATAGGCCAAGGCCATTACAACTTCCCAGTGCAAACAGCTCTTCTGCCATCTGCTATACACAGTGCATTTCAAGTCCGGTTTGTCCCTAGGAGGCAGAGGGGAAAGATACAACACTTCCCAGAGAGCTACACAGAGCCACCCTGCAGTGTAACTAAGGGCCTGCTCCTACTGAAGTCAATAGCAAAACTTTCATTGACTTCAGTGGGAGCTGGACAGGGCCCCAAGTCCTGTAAATTCAGGGCGTCAGGCTCTCTTTGCCATCCACTTCCCCTGTCAAAGAACATCTGGCTGGATTCTGGGCACTCTTCCTGCTTCAAGGCAGCTCAGTGTTCTCAACATCCCCAGACACTTATAGTGCCCTTTAGCTATTCCTAAAAGCTTTTGTCTGCCCTCAGCTTCTCCCAGGCAGCCCCACTGACTACAAGGGGGCAGAAGAGATGCAACTGAGGGCAGGTGTGGATCTTGGTAACTGGCCCCGATCCTGTGAGGTGCTGAGCACTCTGAACTCCCGCTGAAGCCAATGGGAGCCGAGGGCACGCAGCACCTTGCAGGGTCAGGCCCATTATCAGAACCTGAAGTGAGCAGTGAAAGGAGGAATGCACTAGAAAGCAGTTGGCAGTCTGACCCGTCAGATTACAGATGGCAAAGCGACCCACCTGAGCCTGCCCCCATCTCATTGCTGCCTTGGCGTTTCCTGGCCAACTGATGGACTCCATAAGCACTCTATTGATTTCTACATTTGGCATGAACGTTAATTGAAGTGCCAAGATTTCTAACCTCAGCCTCTAAGCAGGGAACATATTATCTGAAGCACCCAAGGTTTTCATATGTTCCAAGCACCACCTCTTTCTGAGAACATACATGTGACAAATGGGGATTCATTCCACAGACGGACAGGCTCCGTTCACACCCATATTAACCCCTCTTTTACACACACACACACACACACACACACACACACACACACACACACACACA